TGGTGGGAAGGTTGAGCGATTTTTGTGGGTTTAGAAGAGCATCTCCATTAATGCAATTGCAAAAGAAATTGCATTTGTGTTTTTTATTGTCTAATTGAAATTTTTTTTAATCCACATTACATTCATTTCATTCACCTACATCAATGCAATTAACTTGCAATTGCAAATGTAATTAAATATTATGTTAAAATTATAGAAAATTAAGTAAAAGAGAAAAGAAAATAATATAAAATAAAATAAATCCCCATTTTTGTAGGCTTTTTTGACTTGCATATGGAATTGCATTTCTTGCTAGCTTGCAAATATGCAATTGGTAGCCACATCAATGCAATTGATTTTGCTATTGCAAACACCTATACCATGTCATTTTGCAATTGAGAATGCAATACCAATGTGGATGCTCTAACATACATTTCAAATTTCAGTCCACTCGCATCCACCCAAACTTTAGTGGGTCACCTTTTTTAGATCCCATACCCACTCATATAAACCGTTCATAACATAATGGGTGGGTCTATCGTGGGTGTATTTGGGTGGATTGGTCGGTTCAACCACCCAATACTCACCCCTAGTTTTAGGATGTTGATTGTCACTTCATCCCAATTTGTGTTAAGAGTTTGTTGCATGGTTCACGTTGACTTTGATGAAGGTAGTAACAAATCAATCAAAATAGGGATTTTATGTATAATCGAAAATGGGGGTAAAATCAGAATCGTAAAATCGTGGGATTTTAAGGTCTATATAAAAATGAAGACGGAATAATATTAGTAAGGAAAATCATGAATAACACAAAAGCACATAACACTTACAATGATAATTTTTCAAGGTTAATGTTAAGAGATGGTGAATCGATGATGATTAATACATTGATGTGAATTGATTATAGTCGATGGTGGTTAGTGTGAGAGAACTAGATGATGTTGGTGGAAGAGAAGAAATATATGCGTAATTTTGCAAATTCTGGGGAAAATAAGTAAAATTGACTCAAAGATTTGAATCGTTAAATCGTAAGATTTTAAAGATTTTAAGAATTTAAATCGTTAATAGTGTAGGATTTTAAGGTCCATAGATTTTATAGTGAAATTAGAATCGGAATAGGTAAGTGAAATCATAAAAGCGTAGGATTTTAGGATTTAAATCGAGATTTTGACTACTCTGAGTAGTAGATCACGGATAAAATTATTGACAGGGACCACGATAAAATAATACATCTTGATTTGACTTCTTTGAACGACTTTAGAACACTACTCAAACCTCTTTGAAGTTTGAACAAAGTTCAAAAGAGGGTGTTTGACGGAATAGGTTACCTTGCCAACTCACATAAGATTAGGACTTTACTAATCACATTTTCAGCCGTTAGATGAAAAACTAATCCAATGATAGAAAATTAATGAAGGTTAAATTAGTAAAAATTCACATCTGCACCAAACCCTAATATATATTTGTTTACACATAAAAATAATTTTGTATCACATAGATTATTTACAAAGACATCTATTGTCTTTATAAGGCCAAATCAAATATAACAAGTAATGTTAATTAAATTGGGTCTCACAGTACTAGATTTTTAAGCCCAAATGACTAATTCTCCGAGAGGGCATGCCGCATGGAAATATACCAAGTCTAGATCTAGACGGCGTTGGTCGTGAGATCTAAACGACCTTAGTCGCGAGACTAGACCACGATGGTTGCGAGATCTAGACGGCCTTCGTTGTGAGATTAGACCACGTTGGTCGCGAGATCTAGACGACCTTCGCTGTGAGAGTAGACCACGTTGGATACGAGATCTAGACGTCCTTCATCGCGAGATTAGACCACTTTGCTCGCGAGATCTCGATGACCTTCGTCGTGAGATCTAGATCTAGACCACGTTGTTCATGAGATCTAGAAGGCTTTAGTTGCGAGATTCAGACAACGTCTGAGCTCTAAATGGACGCAAGAGGGCAAGCCAGGCGGGGAGATGGACGTGGGGGGGGGGGGGACAAGTCGCGGGGGAGAGGGAAGGCACGAAATAAGACTAAAGTTCGGTAGACCACGTTGGTCGTGAGATCTAGATCTAGACAACCTTATTCGCTAGATCTAGACCACGTTGGTCGTTAGATTTAGAAGGTCTTCATCGCGAGATCTAGACAACCTTAATCGTGAGATCTGAGACTGCTGGTCATGGTAGAGAGAAGGAAAGCACCAAAACTTCAACTCCAACAAGAGAGAGACGCCTAGGCAGTTGAGGGAGCAACTGCCACTCATCTCACGTCTGAAGACACATTCGGACCAATTATTTTTGGAAGTTACCCAGCAGACGGTTCTCCAAGGTAGTTATCTCCGCATTCCTATAAATAAGAGAGATGGTTGATAGAGACCTAAGGTTCCCAAAATCAACACTTGACACAAATGTCAAGTTTTTCATTTTTCCTTTTTCTATCATGTAGCCATAGACGTACTTTTTTTAGTTCCGTGCTCTCACTGAACCTCCATAGGAGTAGAGTAATTTAACTTAGTGTTTTGCATCCATCAATCGAACACCTTCGTTCAAACTTTGTTTAATATTTCGTCCATTTTTACTTATGATAGTAATTACGCATATAGTAATATTTGAATCTATAATTCTTTATATATTTTTTTCGTTTTATTTCCGTTCTTATACTCAATAAGGTCTCGAAATGTTAGGCCCGACACGACCCACTTACAGACCGTGTCGTGCTCGTGCTCATGAAGTTTAGACCCAGCACGGCCCATGAATTATTCGTGCTCGTGCTGGGCTGGCCCATATATTTCGTGCCCGTGCCGTGTTCTAACCGTGTCGTGCCATTCTAGCCCATGGGCGGGACGGCCCGGTGCCCACGTACATTTATAATACGTTTGGTTAATAAATAGTATTCCAATAGGTTTGGATAAAATAAAAGAATCTGAAAAAGGTTTGGCTAATAAATAGACATTACCCTTAAATTTATAAAAATAAAATATTTAAATATTAATTTCTGACGTGTACGCTAATGTGGATGCTTACATGGAGCTCCGTTACGAAATAAGTAATGGTAACAGAATGAATGCGCAGACTTTTCAGTTACAATACGTTTGGATAATAAATAGAATTTCTAGATAAAATAAAAGAATTTTGAAAAGGTTTGGATAATAAATAAACATTACACTAAAAAGTTTAACAAACCTATGAATGATCAAAATTCAAATCATTAGATGCAGACCGATTCGTTGATAAGTTGGTAGACGGGTTGCATCTCTAGTCACAATGTTAAAACATCTTATGAGCTCTAAACGAACCAGCTCACGAGTTGAGCTCAACAAATCACCGAGTCGAGCTAGCTCACGAGCTTCCTGAACTGAACAAAACTTAGCTCAACCTCGACTTATTTGTAAACAAGCTGTGTTTCGAATAAGTTTTCCTCGAACTGAATCTCAACCCGCTCGTGAACAGTTCGACTCATTTGCAGCTCTGCCTACACTATACTAAACACACGTACGGCACCCGTATCTAACTAATTACTCCAATATATATATTCATTACCTGACTAAGTCTTCACAAGTTAACGAAGTTTCAGAATAAATGGTGGCAATCTTTGTTTCCGTGCGGTGCATGGTGCTGTCTTTTGTCTTCTTCTTGATTCTTTCGCAGCTCCATTACACCTCTCATTCTATAAAAGGTAACGTATACACAAACAACTCTTACACAGCAAAGCAAACGAACCATCATCACTTACTGAACTACTCAATATGTTGCAATTCATCATCTATGGCTTCCTTCTCCTCTGTTTCTCAATCCACCTGATAAAACTATCCCGTCCAACTCCCACCACCACCAACAACAAAAAGCGCATAACAAAACTACCCCCTTCCCCTCCCAAGCTCCCCGTCCTCGGAAACCTCCATCAGCTCGGTCTCTACGCTCACCGCTCACTCCAAACCCTCGCTCGCCGCCATGGCCCCCTGATGCACCTCCGATTCGGCACGGTACCCGTCGTCGTAGCCTCCTCGGCCGCGGCGGCCAGAGAGATCATGAAGACCCACGACCACAACTTCTCGGGCAGGGTGGAATCCGCAGTCGCCGCCAAGCTTCTCTACGATTACGAGGACATCTCCACCGCGCCGTACGGCGAGGGCTGGAGGCAGAGGAGGGGCGTCTGCGTCGTTCATTTGCTCAGCAATCGGAGGGTTCAGTCGTTTCGGAGAGTGAGGGAGGAAGAGACGGCGATCCTGATGAAGAGGATGAGAGACCAGCGGGTTGTGGATTTGAGCGAGAGCTTTGCGACTCTGACGAACGATGTCGTGTGCAGGGCGGCTCTGGGGAGGAAGTACAGCGAATTGGGGAGCAATGGGGGAAGGAAGTTCAACGAGCTGCTGTTGGAGTTTATGGAGCTTCTGGGAAGCTTCAATGTTGGCGATTTCATCCCGTGGTTGCGTTGGATTAATATCTTTACCGGTTTCAGTGTCAGGGTCGACACTATTGCCAAGGAATTCGATGACTTTCTTGAGGAAGTAGTTGACGAACATACCAGAAAGCTGGAAAACAGAGCAAGCAGAGAGACAGAGGAAGATCGAGAAGAAGAAGAAGAAGAAAGATTTGGTGGATATTCTTCTGAACCTCCAAAGAGATAAATCGCTGGGATTCCCTCTTACTCGAAAGAATGTTAAAGGCATCATCTTGGTGAGAAACTCCCTCTCAATTATTTCATATAATAAACGTCTCTGTTTCCTCCGTTTCCCCTGTTTCCCCTGTTTTTGCTTGTAATCGGAATAATCACGAAATTTGAAATTGTTTTTTGCGGGCAGGACATGTTTGCTGCGGGGACGGATACAAGCTACACGGTTCTAGAATGGGCGATGACGGAGCTCCTCAGGCATCCAAAAACGATGGAACGATTACGAGACGAGGCGAGGCGAGTTGGGAAGGGGGAAGCAGAGATTAACGAAGACGACTTGGACGAAATGTTGTATCTCAAAGCAGTGATGAAAGAGACACTACGAATGTATCCACCAATCCCGCTCTTGGTTCCTCGAAAACCTTCACGGAGCGTGGAGATCGAAGGATACCACGTTCCTGCCGGAACGATGACGATGGTGAACGCGTGGGCGATCGGGAGGGACCCGGGGATTTGGGAGCAACCAGAGGAGTTCATGCCAGAGAGGTTTTTAAATGATGGTTGTAAGGTGGATTTTCGGGGGCAGGATTTCGAGCTGATTCCGTTCGGTGCTGGAAGGAGAGGTTGTCCTGGAATTTCGTTCGCCATGGCGACGAATGAATTGGTGCTGGCGAATATGGTGAATGGGTTTGATTGGAGTTTGCCGGAAGGTATGAGAGTGGATGAACTAGACATGGGTGAATGTCCAGGACTCACTATTCATAAGAAGGTTAAATTGGTGGCAGTTTGTACACCGCGTCAACTCCATGCCTAAAAAAATGTTGTTATCATTGGTTACACTAGTTTTGTTTCCTACTTTTCTTTCTAGGAGTACAAGGTCTAAACACACTATATAGTTTGGAGTTACTCTTATGATACTAGTTTTGGTTCAACATATGTGGTACAACTGTTTTGGCCTTCATTGTCAAAATATTTAATCGTTGAATGTCGTGATAACTGGACTTCAACAGTAGTTCACAAACCTTAATCAAAGTATTTTTTTTTTATGAATTGGTTGTAATATTATATCATCAAAAAAATTGTACTTGACAACACATCATGCCAACTAAGTGGCAACATACTACCGAAAAACTAGTTTTGGGGTTGCCAAAGTGGGTTTTTTTTTATGAAGGTGAACATCAGAGTGACTGATAATTAATTAATTAATTAGTATATTAAAGTCTAGGTTGTGAGTTACTATTCATTAATGGCTTTCACACTCATTCAAATACAAGTGGGGAAGTTTCAAGTCGTTCTTTTACCGTACTCTCAATTCTACAACATTTGTGTGTAGTTATTGTTCGCTAGGTTTTCATCTATGACTTTTTGCACAAGTCATCGTCTTAGTGTTTTTTTATTGTTCGTTAGGTTTTTGTCTATGGTTTTTTCACAAATCATCGCCTTTGTGTTTAGTTATTGTTCGCTAGGTTTTCGTCTATGGCTTTTTGCACAAATCGTCACATTTGTGCAATGTTATTGTTCGATAGGTTTTCATCTATGGCTTTTTGCACAAATCATCGCCTTTGCCCACCATTTTGCAGCTCATCTCAAAATACTGTCGACGAAATCCTAAGTTGTTCCCCACCATCGTTTTCTAAGGATGCTACCACGAGTTTTGTATCGGGACCGAGTTTCATCCTCTATAATCACAATTAAACCAAAAAACATGGGCATCCTATTATCCTAACCTGAACACAAATCATCGCCTTTGCCCACAATTCTGCAGCCCATCTCGAAATACTGTCGGCGGAATCCTAAGTTGTTCCCCACCATTGTTTCCCAAGGCAGCTACCATGACTTTTGTATCGGGATCGAGTTTCATCCTCTTTAGTATTTTTTTTCTTTCTCTTTTTCCTTTTTGTTGAGCATGATCACAATTGAACCCAATGCTGCTACCGAAAATTCATATCATATCTACTCAATGTCGGCGAGTTTTGTATCGGGACCGAGTTTCGTTTGCTTTAGTTTTTTTTTCTTTCACTTTTTCCTTTTTGTTGGGGTCATGAGCGAGTTTTATCCGCTTTAGTATTTTTTTATTCTTTTTCTTTTGGTTGAGAATGACAATTGAGTCCAAACGCATGAGTATACAACCTAATTCGACCCGACCAAAGTGATTTGAAACCAATTTTACAGGTTTTCAACGAGAGCAAGTGTTATCTGTTTTTGTAATTGGCGTATTGTGTCAGGTGTGAATTTGTCCAAAACTCGGTCCAACCAGGTCAAAACGAGTTGAACCTGGTGTTGACGAGTTTTGAGTCGGTACCGAGTTTTAGCTTTAGTGTTTTTCATTTTGCTTTTTCATTTTGTTTGCAAAAGACAATTGAATCCAAATCCACGGGTATCCAACCTAATTTGAAAAGATACATAGAAGTTGTTTCATTCTGCAAAAGTTATAGCAGGATCAACTACTAGCCATACACATTGAAATATTGGCGTCATGAAAGAAGTTTAAACATAAATAATCTATTCGACGACCCTTGTACCTTATGCAAGTTCATCGACCATATGCTATTGTAAATAACAAACCTATGAAAAGAATGATTAAAAATAAAATAAAATTACTTTCACTTTTGGGTCAACATTAAAATTATAACTTTTTAACATATTTATTTTTCGCGAGCGTGCTTTGGCTAGTTACTTGAACTTCCCTTCAAATGCAAGCATGCAAATCTTCAATAAGTCTTCCAAATCATGCAAATCGTTTTGAGCATTTCTCCCTCATTTACTGCTCAACACACCGCTCAACACAAGTCTGCCAGTTTTGGAGTGTTTTCCTTTGAAAGCAGTTATTGTTCAAGTAAGTTCATATGCTCACCTATCCAGTGGCCACAAGTACTCTATAGGGGTCGTTTGGATGTGGAAATTTTAAAATGTTGGAATTTGTCTCAATTCCCATGTTTTACAAAACCAAGGAATTGACTTGTGGAAATTGAAAAAAAAAAATTCACGTTTGGATAGAGTTTAGTTTTGTGAGAATTGATGGTGTGAAATTTGGAAAAAGAAGTAAGAAAACGTGGTAATGTCAAATTACTAGAGGGAGGTGTAGTATTCTCAATTACCATGAATGTGGTAATTGAAGCCAATTTCCATGGTCCAATTCCCATACCATTTTTGCTCTCCCAAACGTGGGTTTTTAACTCAATTACTGCATTATGTGGTAATTGGGACCAATTACTGCATTACATTTCCACATCCAAACGACCCCATAAGTGAAGACAGAGAATAATACACCTTTTAATAGGTATATATATATATAACAAATACAATCTCCAAATAGGTGTTTCGTAGGCTCCAAGCCTTGTCAACATAAAACACAATTAATATAGTGTTATGATAGTTGATATGATAATGACGTGATGTTGGTATGAGATTATATGTTTTACAAAATAAATTAATGATATTATATTACTGTCTTATTACAGTATAATAGTGATATGATGTTGGTATGAAGTCTTATGTTAGAGAGAATAATTTTATGGTATCATATCATTTTCATATCATGATACTGTCATTATATCATAGTGATAATATCATTATATGATAGTATTATGATATAAAGTCAGTCTTACCATAGTGAGAAGATTATGATATGACATATATGACAGTGATAATACTACAACCAACACGTGTTTTGAAGAGTTATTATTTTTTATTTGCACAAAATATAACAAAATAGATATCTTTGTCTAGATCTTAATTAATGCATCAATGTTGTGAAATATTTTTAAATTTTGAGTTAAAATGAATTAGATATGATCCAATTAAGAAAATAGGGGATTAGAAAAAAAATTCTCTCTCATCTGTATATGTGAGAAAAAAATATAATAAAAAATGTTGAGGGTGTGGTTGTGCGGAATTACCAGTCCGCCCCTCCATGTTTTTTGTTAAAAATAATTTTGGACTATTAGATGTGATTAAAATAGATAGATTCAGATTAATTTGAGTTTTGTAGTGATTTTGTAAAAGAGCATTTTGTACACTATCCTTTTCCTGTTTTAATTTTAAACCACCCCTATATTTTCGATTTTCCCGTTCTCCTTTTTTGTTTTGTCAAAATAATCAAAATAGCCTCCCCACGCCCAATTTTTGTGGAACCAAACATACTGTAACACATTAAGCGAATTCCACATCAACAAAGCAAGAAAGATATCCATGGTTCATAAATAAAAAATCGACCTTAACTGACTAGACACGTTTTGAAAGTGAAATGGAGGACAACAATGATGAGTGACATTATAGGAAGTCACCTTGATATACAAAGCACTTCTACTATGCTATATAGTATTGATGCTTTAATGTACAACTTGAAGTTGTACCATAACATTAAATGTACAAGTTTAGGTGGTACCATAAAGGAATTTGTATCATTATGTTATGGTACAACTTTACAACTTGAAGTTGTACCATCACATAAGGTACAAGTTTAAGTTGTACCATAAAAGAATTTGTACAAAAAGTATAGGTACAATCTGAAGTTGTACCATAACATTAAAGGTACAATTTCAAGTTGTACCATAAAGATAAAAACCTATAACACCAATGCTATATATCATTGTAAAATTCCTCATCCAACCTAAATCAAAATCCGTGAGAATCTTGGGGCCAAACCAAACAATATTTTGTCGAAAAAATGTATGTTCATGATGTTACATTTCCTCAACACTTATTAGTAAATTTCATGCACCCCATTTGCAAAACTTATTAGTAAGTTTTCTGGATCGGTTATTTAACTTTCGAGGTCGCATTTGTAAATGTCCTTTCACCCTTCGCAGTCATGTGGAGTAAGCTTTTGGCTTTAATAGTCATATGATATAGACTCCAAATTTTCATCTTGCAACTATTGACTTTAGCTATTTTGAAATTACATGGAAAACGAAAGTTACCTTATACATGGGATGTGATAAGGGGATAAATGTATTGTAAATCATCAATTATATCATTGAAATGTGACTGCCAAAATATTTTTTCTTTTAATTTGGTGACATATTGGTGATTTAGTTGATTGTTGTCGAGTGACCATTTACTGTTTAATCATTTGTCGGGGTAATTTAGTACCTAAAAATTTTCCTTATGGCATTTTAGTACCTAAACTTTTCACATTTTACATATTGGTCCTTGGTTGATGATGTCATTTGGATTCATTGATAATCCACCAATCCACTTGATCTAATCCATGAATCCACCAATCCATTGGATCCAATGCATTTGATCCATGGATCCACCAATCCAAGAATCAATCCATTTGATGGAACCACGTCCACGTCCAGGCCCCAGCCCATGTAAAGGAGGACGTCTGCACGACAGAAACACACCTTCTGATGATGTCCTGAATCTTCATTTGCCAGGTAATGTTGTTGCCCTTCTGCATTCTTTTTTCAGCAATCTCCCTCAAGAATGGCTAGAAGGAACTCATGTGATTGTAAAAAATCTCCGGCCCATAAAATCAGTTGCAATGCTGAGAATAGCATTCCGTATCATGGGTCCATTACTTCCTAGACTAGCAAATGCTCATACGTTCTTCAACAAGGTAAACACTTTCTCGTTCATTTCCTCAATTAGTTAGCATTTTAATCCTGTATACTAAATGCGTTTATTGGAAAGCTATCTGTAACCCTAGAGAGAGACTTCTGTAGGAGGAAACTGATGGTGCTAAAGTTGAGAGTGTATAAGTTGGAAAGTCGAGAAACGTAAATTTCTGGTAGACACTACATATTGTAGTAACTGTTTGGTGTGTGTTCGGCGTTCTCTAACCAACATTGCTCTTGCTGTTTTCTCCTTCGTACGTATCGCGCTATTCATGTAGATCTTGGCATTGCTCCTGAATATGATGGTCGATGTTTTCGGGAGGAACTCAGAACCATCTACGAGTGCAGGAGCATCAGAAATATCAGATATAATTGATTTCCTGTACGTATATTCATTCATCCCCCCCCCCCCCCCTGGTGAAACGATATATTGGTATCCGATCCATCATAACGAACATGTGTTTACTGACCATTTCATGTTTCAGGCATCATGTTGTGCATTATGAGGGGCAAGGCGGACCTGTCCAGGCTAACAGCAAGCCTAGGCCAGAGGTTCTGGCTCTTTGTGGGAGAGCCATTGAAAATCTAAGACCAGATGTACAGCACCTTCTCTCCCATTTGTCGCCGGATGTGAATTCTTCCATATATGCAGCCACCCACCCAAAGCTGGTCCAAAACCCATCTTGATCATTGGATCACAGCACAGGTTCCTTGTATTGCTGCAGAGTATGCAGTAAAACTCCAGCTCGCCGTCATGAAACTGCCTGAATCAATCAGCTGCAAAATTTCAGAGTCTGTCTTGGTAGCACGGACGAGGGTGTTGCAGTTCCCTAAAGCTCCAGTAGGCTGAAGTGAACAGAGTGTGCCATAACTTGTGCAGTAGATGCAACCGCCGGAACGTTGCTTGTGTGTGCTGCCATGAACATGGCGATTTTGCTGACTGGATTCTCTGCTGCTGCTGAATCCAGTGACGTTAGGTGTTGCATGAAATTCCGATGTGTATATGTAGACATGGATGAATAAACCAAAGTGCAGTTGTATTATTAACTCTTGATTAGTTAGTTAGTTAGTTGGGAGCACTAATAAGTAACAACACTTTTTACTGCACAACTAGGTGTCGTCCTAAATTTACTATAATCGCCCTGAAAGGAGCAGATCTCTCTTGTTGTCGTTCGTGTCTCAATTTGCACGATCCAGAAGAACCAACTCAAATACTCTTCTGAATATTCCTCAATATCTGACTATTCACAGAAAGGTGAGCAGAAGATGGATATTCATCTCTTTCTGAAAGAAATCGAATACTTGGATTGTAAGTTGGAAGTCAAGGTCATGGATGGATGCCAATCGTATTTTATGGTTTTCATTTGTTTTTCTCTTCCTTCTTTGCATGGAATTGTGGTCGTAATTTTCCATCTCAGGACCAGAAAAATTATAATACACAAAACAACAACCATACGAAGGTGGCAAATTTCGACCACCCGGAAAATAGACAAAACGTTAATAAATAAATAACAACCATGCACCTTCAAAAGGTGGCAACCGTTGACAGGACACTCATTCCCCTCCCTTTATTTACAGATTAGGAATGATAATTTGACCTTACTCCCTTCTGATAAATTAACAATCTGAACATAGCATGTTATGTAGGGATGGGAAACGGTATGGTCTGGTCCAGACCGGATTATATGTACGGTTTACGGTCCAGACTGAAAGGGTAGAGTATAGACCACAGACCAAACCACATGCTATACGATCTAGACCATACCACGTTGTGCGGTCTGGTCCGGTACGGTCTGGTCTAGATAGACCAAGCCGAAGAAAAATAAACAATTTGATTAGTCAACCATACAAAAAATTGAACCAATATCCAAAAAAAAAAATTTGTCTTAAAACATAAATTCCAACATGCATGGATAATTTTGACACCATAAATCTCAGTAAATAACAAAGATACAAAGTCAAAGCATCCCGACTTCCACTATAATGTCATAAACATTAATATAATGTCATATGGAGACACAATCGTCTTTACTATCTAGTGAAATGTGGGCGTGAATGAAGGAGGGGACGAGATTCTCAAAATTAAGATTGAGATTTGGGTATCGTTGTGGGAGTTGGGAAAGTAGTCGATTGGGCTGCTAACACGTACTGAGAAGTCGGCTGGGTCCACGGTTTGGTCCATGAAACCGCGGTCTAGACCAGACCAGACCAAGAGATCAAAACACCATATAATGCAGACCACGGACAAGACCAGACCATACTTAACGGTCTACGGTCCGGACCAAACTGTGCGGATACGGTTTGGACCATGGTTTTTCATACGGTCTGGTCTATTTTCCCAGCCCTAGTTATGTAACAAATATGTACCCACCTCCAACATTCACCGTGGCCATTCATACTACAAATACGTTTATCATCACTAGAAATGAACCCTCGCCAAATAATTCGATCATCATTTCTCCATCTCTTGTAACTTGTATAAAAAGCAACAACCCATAAACGCCCTTTCTCCTCACATCCGTTTCATTCCATTCACCCACCAAAAAGAAAGCATCAGGAAAATGGCCGCAACAACTCGCACCCCCACTCTACTACTCACACTCCTCCTACTCACCGTCGGCGGCGCGTCAACCTCACTCGACACCTTCGTCTACGGCGGGTGCTCACGGCTCAAGTTCTCGCCGGGTTCACCCTACGAGTCAACCCTCAACTCGCTACTCACCTTACTCGTCAACTCAGCCTCCTTCACCCTCTACAACAACTTCACCTCCGCCGCCGTCCCGGTCCTCTACGGCCTCTACCAGTGCCGCGGCGACCTCTCCGCCGCCGCCTGCCGCACCTGCGTTGCCGGCGCCATCGCCCGGCTCGCCGCCCTCTGCCCGCCGGACGCCGCCGGCGGCGCCGTGCAGCTCGACGGCTGCTACGTCAGGTACGACAACGTGTCTTTTCTCGGCGTCCAGGACAAGACCGTGGTGCTGAAGAAATGCGGCGCGTCGTCGGTCGGGTACGACTCCGGCGCGTCGGCGAGGAAGGACACCGTGCTGGATTACGTGGTGGCCGGCGGCGGCAAGGCGTATAGGGTGGGCGGGTCCGGCGGCGGCGTTTATGCGGTGGCGCAGTGCGTGCAGGACCTGAGCGTGGGGCAGTGTCAGGATTGTATGACGGCGGCGGTCGGGGTGCTGAAGTCCGACTGCGGCGCCGCCGCCGCCTGGGGGGATGCGTTCTTGGGGAAGTGCTACGCGCGGTTCTCGGAAGGTGGCGCACACTCGCGCCACGGTGGTTACGGTACGTCGTCGTTTCCTTTTTTCCCCCTTCTCCTTCGTCTCTATCTTTGTTCTGGTATTTTTTCACTTTTAAGTAGGGGTGGCTATAAGGTCCGGTCCGGTTAAATTGGCCCAAATTGATCCGGTCCAGTCCGGTTTTTTTGAAAATATAAGGACCGAAGATTGGATTGGATACAGTCCGGTCTTGATCCGGTCCGGTCTTGACCCGGTCCGGTCCCAATTCGGTCTTGATTTTATATTGAGATTGTGGGAATTTGAGTGGCCTAAGCCCTACAAGGGTGAGGAGTTGGTTAAGTTTTGTACTAAGTGCAAATGTTTGTGACCGTTTATGCAAATTACCCTTAAATTTTGGGTGTTGAGCTCTCTTATCCGGTCTTTATCCGGTTTTTTACCTCAAATCTAAGCCCAAAGATTGGATTGGATTGTTTACTATCCGGTCTCGGTCCGGTCTCGGTCCGAGTTATACGGTCCGATTTCCGGTTTTTCATCCGGTCCCGGTCCAAATAGCCAGCCCTACTTTTAAGTTTTAACTGATGAATTATGGACTAGTCCTCGAATGTAGGAAATGGAAGTTGTAGGTACTAATAATGGACTAGTCCTTGAATGATTTATGCTGTCGAAAGCGTGATTCTAATTCTACGTGTAAGTATTTTAGTAACCTAAATGTGTAAGATTGTAAGTTTTTAAACTTTAAAGCGGAGATATTAGCTACACTTGTAAGAGAAAAACACGATTCTACTTAGAAGCATTTTGGTAACCTAGGAGTATAAAAGTGTAAGCTTTTAAACTTTATAAAGTACGCTCTCGACTGCACGGTATACGCGTTTGTGTTGTTAGCTATGGGGTAATTAATTTGTGTCATGTTGATTATTTCTGTGAATCAAGAATGGAAGAGAAGAAAGGTAAAAAGTTTAGGTACCTTAGTGATCACTGAGTGTTGAATTGTGAAATGTGAATGACTAAATTAGATTTATAATTGTCTGTTACGTCTAATTTCTTACCATTCATTTATCTTGTTTTTACAACATTTTCAAGGTTTCACTTTCATTCACCTAAAATTAGGTGAGCGGTTCAGCGAACACCTAGTTTTTACTTTTTATTTTTACCCTCTCTTTATTGTAATTAACGTGTTAATGGTTAAGCATGCACACATCTCATATACATAATATTAATTAATTAATTTTGCTGGGTATGCTGGAATATTCTGGTACGTAGCATACCATGGACAAATAATTATTAGAGTGCCTCACTTTGATGATTAAGATTCCCTTGTTTCTGATAATAATTCATGTTAATGATGAGATTAGAGTATGTGTGTATGTGCGGGTTGAGTAAATTAAAGAGCGATATAAGAGAATACTTCATGAATTAGGAATAAAATATGAAGTAGTTGAAGGAGGATTAGCATGCAAATACAATGCAAACAACACAAAAAACCAAAAGGCATGAGATTTGGCTAATTAATCCGCTCGCTTGACTTGACTTTAATTACAATTAAAAGATAGGGCATCCATCGACGAAGGAAAAAGACTATAAAAAAGAAGGATCCAGAATAACCAAAGCATCCGATGCAAAATGGATGGTTGGATTATGGTTAGGTAGCATAGAGAAGCACTATATATTATATTTCTCAATTCTTCTATAATATGTAATATCATCAAGTATATGTAAATTATCTCTCTCCTGCTCGTCAACTGAGTGAACCACGTAAATTCGTGTGTTCTTTACTTTAATTTATTGCATTGTCAGACCAGAGGCGGAGGCAAGGGGTCCGGACAGTGTCCCGTGACACCGGTACTTTTGGGGTGGGAAAAAAAAACACCCCCACATAGGTGGAATTTAAGGATTGAACTCATAACCTCTAGGTTGATTAAAAGTGTTTTACTACTATACTACAAGCTGATTCTTGCTTAAATGAGGACACGGGCACTATTTTTGAATGAATTATTAAGATATTAGTTTTAATTATATTAATTATTTATTTATATTCTTAAAAGAAGACACGTGTATTTTTTGAATTCTGGCTCCTCCACTGTTTTCGACTATCCCGATTCGCTCTAACAAACGAGATATAACGTGTTCTAAATCACTCGACTATTATGATTGATCAGCCAACCGTCATATATACCCACATGCATGTGTTTGTGTTAACTTGATGAAGAGTTTCCTATCAAAATAATAATTGTCGGGAATGTACACTTTATTTCTCCATCAGGTTGGAGAATGTCATATGAATGTCATATCACACGGCTCTGATTATTGCAATCATAAGTTCATAATTCATTCTGCACGTGATGCATGTTGTACGTATATATGTAGGTAATAACGACGACGACAAAGACGATAACAACGACGTCGAGATTGAGAAGACACTGGCAATACTGATCGGACTTATTGCCGGAGTTGCCCTCCTCATCGTCTTCCTCTCCTTCCTCAGACAACTCTGCCAAAAGGGCAAAGGTATAACTTCTCTTATCTTCTCTTCTAAACCGCTCAAACTGATCAAAGAGGTCCGACATGATGGAGGGCCAAGGATAGAATATTGGTTGGATTAAAAGCTTAGCTGGAAATGTTGTCTTGTTCTAGTCAAAATTGATTTTCCAAACCAAATTTTGATTTCAAAAGTTGTACCAAGAAATCACCTTTGGGGGACATCGTGGTACAATTATTGTAGCTAGCTAGGTTTAAAGTCGTGATCATATAGATACATTTAACAAAGAAGACATACTTTAATTAATGTTAATCTATATATTCTTCCTGTTTTCAACTAATTAAGTTGATGGGCTCCAAGCCATCCACTTTGAGAATCCACTATAGGAAGAAAAAAATGTAGCCTATAACTTAATAATTTGTGGGAGGGAGCACTATATATCTATAGTGTCCAAGAATGGAGTGGCTTTTTAAAAAGGAAAAGGCATTTTATATGGTGGCTAGCTAGATAACCCAAAAGAAAGCTGCACCCCTCTCCTCCATTAGAATTTTTTTTTTTTTCTGTTATGGCGGAGTTAGAAATCTGAATGAGAATAGCTAAAAATTTATGGAAAAAATTTTGGAACGATGAGAATGCCTAAAGCTTTTGAACTAGTATGTTTTTCTAATTTATTACAAAATATACATATAATCCTACCATGATTCAAGAAATCGCGTTTAAACTAACGCTTAATCACACCTAGGCCCTAGGCAACAAAACGTCTCGTCTAGGGGCTCCGGAGTGATTTGGGAATTAAAAAACACGTCGATGGAGTATGAGACACATAGGTGTAAGGTGTTGCATATGCTAAATCGGAATATCGATCAAAACCCCATATCTTTTTATATACTTTGATAAATTAGAATGATTGATTATTATTATGTTTTTGCTATTGATTGTTATTTTATTAAATTAATTTTTCGGATTTGAGTATACAGAACTAGGATCCGATGTTTACCCATTAGCGGTAAGAGTATAGTTTATTTATTTATTAAACTAAACACGGTTTAGCTGGTGGTCTAGATAGCTCCATATCACTAAAAATATCAATAATAGCGAATACTCTTGGCGTACGCCAACATGACTAATTTTTTAAGCTGCGTTATATCATACTCCGACTCTACTGTAGCTATAATTTATGTGAAATGATCCATCATTCAAATAACTAGACCTCATCAATCTATGCAATCCTCACAATATTGCAAGTGTTGTTCTCGACTTTTTAAGTAGAATAATGAAGTTTTATGTTTTTTTAATTGCCTCATCCCGACTTCATTGCCATTCTCACAACCAAAAATACTATCAAAACACTCGATTTTAACCGCGTAATTTCTAAACGGTCGAAATATGGATTTCGTTGGAACTAGATGTTACAATGACTTTGAGAATTGATTGAGACTGACTTCTGCTGCCATCAACATGGCTCCGACCTCTGCACTAACTAACCCTTTTTCTCTCCTCTCCCTCTCAATAACGCGCAGGTGGCAAATAGCTTCAACAATTCGACTTTTTTGTTCACTGCCGCCGATTTTCGGTTGTTATGTAAAGCTTGTTTCACATCATTCACTGAACAAGACTAGGGCAACAAACTGGTATCATATGGTCCATATATGTAAGAAGAAAAGACAGGGGAAGGAAGAAAGGAAAGCAAAGAGGGAAAAGGATTGCAATTGCTGTTATTAAATAGAAGAGATTCCACAATCCATTAGTGACTAGTTGTTTCGTCGTTTGCTCGTTGGGTATGAAAGATGAATAGAGAAACCGTCTTCTCTAAAACCATGGTTTAGTGAATGTTTTTTTTTATATATATAATAATATTGTAAGAAATTGAATACAGAGAGAGAATTGTCATGTACCAACAATTATCGACTCTTGTAAAGAAGAGAACATCCAACACATTTTAGATTCAAACTTCGGGATCATCTACCAACAGCGATTTTTGAGTTACGAATTCACCGACCATGACGTTTTTCCAATGGTAAGAAGAGTATTAAGGACCCCCAAGAGAGAACGGAATCCTACCTGTGAATTGTGATGATCTCTGGGGAGGGTTAATTATGGCCAGATCGCTGGAAAAAAAGCTTAAAGTGAAATTACACCGATCAAGAAAGAAGGGTTTCACTCTTGTATCAAGAATAGATTCCTCATACCGAAGGAAAAGAAGGATTTGAGGCAGAGAGAGAGAGAGCCCTCAAATTGAGAGAGAAAGTCAATAATTTGTGTGCATGAGTGTGTGAGGCCTTGATATCTGTCAAAAGTGTCCAAAAGATCGAGGTAAAATAGTAGATACACATTGTTTATAGCGTTCCAACCTCTTTTTCCACTTTTTGAGAATGAACTTAGGCCCCTTCTGAGCACATACCTCCTGGATTTGAGAACCCAATTGCTAAGGTTTATGGATGTTGGTGAAAAACTAGTTAGTTTCAATAATTTAAATAGTTGGAAGAGATTCAATAATAGATCGTTATATCACTCACTAATACACTTCCTCAAACAAAAGTCGGTCAACTTATAAGGATTTTCATTTGTGCAGGTCCTTAATACGAGAATATCATGTGCTTCATAAATGGGGTTACCGAGATTCGAGCAAAAAAAAGCTCTTGATTAGAGCATCCACATTGGTATTGCATTCTAAATTGCAAGATGACATGGCATGGGTGTGCAATTGCAAAACCAATTGCATTGATGTGGCTGGCTGCCAATTGCATATTTGCAAGCTTGCAACAAATGCAATTGCATGTGCAAGTCAAAAAGGCCTAAAAATGGAGAATTTTTATTTTTTATTATTTTCTTTTCTCGTTTATTTTATTTCTGTAATTAAATATAATATTTAATTACATATGCAATTGCAAGTTAATTGCATTGTTGTAGGTGAATGAAAATAATTTGAGGTGGATTGCAAAAAAATTGAGTTGGCCATAAAAGCATAAATACAATTACTTTTGCAATTGCAGTAATATGAATGCTCTTACCAAAAACTCTAATACCATGTTTAAAATCAATTAGTTCTAATAAGTAAATACTTAAGTTGTTGAAAGAAGAACAATAACAGATTTTTCTACCAAAAAAATAATAATAGATTTGATACCACTCTCGGATTGCACAGTTCCTTCGAGACCATGGCTCAATTGGATGGCCTGACCAATGAGAGCTTGGAAGAAATAGGGCTAATGAGAGCTTGGAATGTGCAGATTTTGGTAAAGGGAAATCCCTCATTGCGGTCGTTCCAAAAATGTTGATTTTGCCAACTCCAAACCCCTCCTTATGGTTTGGATTAAGACTCAAACGAGACAAAACCTTTAGAAATCCAAGTCCAAAGGCAGGATCATTCAACTAGATGAGAAATAATTACAGGCCATCAACTATTAAAATCGAAGGTTTCAAAAATCTAAAGCATGAAGTCGCTCAATCAGCATGAGTGTGATGGAGAAGTGAAGAGTGATGGATAAAGTAACGGGGTGCAACATAAAAACACAACGATGAGATCTCTTACTCTTTAGCAAATGGTTCTCCTCAATCTTGATCGTCTTCTCCATGTTAGTCGAGCTTGGCCTTTCTTCTACTGACGAATTCGGATTCCAGGGATGTCTTTCAATCCCATTTTCAGTGCAGTTTTCCTAAAGATTGAAGGGGGCTTCTTCAATCCTATCGATTCGCAGAACTGATTGGCCAGCTCAACAAGCGTCGTCTTGTCCCTCCCGATCTCCCTGATTGAGTTGTAGTATCCCAGCCAAGCATGATATGCTGCCTCTTTTATGCTGGTATCAACTTTTGCTATTGAGTTCTCCAGCTGCATTGCCAAAACAACAAACCCCCCCGTAAATTCAATACAACTTCATGCATCACACAGTGAGAAGCCCGGATATACGTAAAAGAGTAAGAAACTGGACCTTAAGTTTAACTGGTGGCTCTATGTCAGGTGAAGGGAGTTTCTCAAGAGGCAACTCCTTCAATTCATCCAAGAAATATTCTTCCCATGGAGCCAACAACAAGACTCCCTCCCCATCTTTCCCTTCCCGCCCGGTTCTTCCAAGACGATGTATGTACTGTTCTCGGTCACAAGGGATACCCACCTGGTTTTGTATTGAGAATTTGAACATGTGTTATGCAATGAAATCAGGAGTTATGGACAATGTACAAAGGCTACAGAAGATTTTATGAAAATACCTGAATCACCAAACTGACATCGGGATAGTTCATTCCACGAGCTGAAACATCAGATGTAACAAGAATCAACCGCTTCGATTGTTTGAATTCGTCAGAGACGCGAGTACGATAGAGTTGAGGCTTCCTCGAGTGCATCTCTCTCACGTTCATTTTCATCTCCCGAAGAACGTGGTACATCAGGGATGTTACCATCCCAGTTGTACAGAAGACAATGACCTACCAGGAAAGCCAGAGATAAAAATTTCTATCTTGAATGAAGAGATAATAATACAGTGATAAAAAGAAAAAAAGGCGAGGCGGCGAGATATAAATAGCTTACCTTGTAATCAGGTATTTGCATGAGGTGTTTTTTCAAGAGATGGTGTACAACTTGGAAATGGAGTTCGTGTGGAACCACAAGGTAAGACTGCCTAACCTGCATTCACCATGTAGAATGCCGAATCAATTGTTGTGCAGCATTGCTAGGTAGTAACAACATTTATATTAGGTTGATCGCCCTCTTTTTATTGGCTGACATGATATTTTGCAAATTAACAATCCTGAAGACTGAAGTATATAGTGTGGACTAGCAGAAACTTTCAAGTATTTATGAATATACCTTGACAGGAGTTTCCACACTTCCCAGACCAACTGTATCAATGAAAACATGGTCTGTTTTCAGTACAAGCTGAGAAATACGGCGGACCTGCACAAAAAAAATTGAATGAGCATTTTTACTAGTGAAGAAGCCACTTGTTTCAGGATCGAAATTAGAATCTCTTCACTCCCAATCCTTCAACATACCACCATTTCTGCAATTTGCACTAATACTTGTGCAGGGAAAAAGGGAAAAGGGAGAAAATATGCTATCGAAATCGTCTCTTATCTAAACTTAATAGTCTCAGCTAACCTCTTTTGGAATAGTTGCAGAGAACAGTAAGGATTGCCTTCCACGAGGCAAGCAATCCACAATTTTCTCCACATCTTTACGGAATCCCAAGTCTAGCAAGTGGTCAGCTTCATCAAGTATTAGCATCTTCAATCCCATCAAATGCACAGACAAACCACCTTTGTTCTCTATGTGATCTAGTAGCCTACCAGGAGTTGCAACAACTATCTGCAATCATTTACATAATTTCTGTTATGAGCGAATTAATGTACAATCCCATCTGTTTAAGTTAAAGTGGCAATAGCATGTGGCTAGACCTGACAAGGGTCAAACTCTAGGCGTCTCTGATCATCCTTGAAACGAGTACCTCCAACTAGTGACTGAACCCCAATTCCATCATGGAACCTCAACAAAGCAGTTGCTTCTGCAGTTATCTGACTTGCTAGCTCCCGAGTAGGGCAGAGAATAAGCACACATATTTGATGGACCCTTTGCTTGGCACTGCTACTTGCTGACTTCAAAACTGCTTCAATTGCAGGAAGCTGTTCGTGTTTAGCAACACCAACGAAACAGAGAAAAACCAGAGGCCTTGATTGGTTCAAACCAAAAATAACATAGAGACTAGTATAATACCAAGAAAGCCGCGCTCTTCCCAGTGCCAGTTTTTGCCTTAATCACAGCATCCTTCCCTGCTTCCAAAGGTGGGAAATGAATAATTATCATGAATTGGATCCCAAATTAAAAATGCTATACTCTTAAAAAATTCAAATTCACGGCAGTGAGCATTCAACCACAAGCAGAATGCAGCTGGCATACCCTCAAGACTAACAGATAAGGTAGCTTCCTGCACCCTGGTCATTTGAACATAGCCAGCCGCTGCCATTGCCTTAACTGTCAATGGAGATATACCACACTCATCAAATCTGCAAAAGGTAGCAAAAGTTAGAAACATCAACACATCAACCCGGAGCATGTTACATTACCCTTTCTACATTTCAAGTCTTCCTGAAACCATACTAGGTATAAAGTCAAAGTGTCAAACACATTAATGTTATCAAAGACTGGAAAACACATACCTTTTTTCACTAAGAAATGGCTCTTCCTTGACTTCATCAGTCTTATCAGCTTCTTCAACCAACCTACGCCTGCCAACCTCATGTCTAATCAACTCCATATCCTTTGAAAAATCAAGCTCCTCCTCAATTTTCTTCAATGGGACTCGTTTCCTAACCTTCACATCATAATTCGCTAAAGCAGCTAAGCTCCCGATCTCTTTTGCACGTCTCTTTCCACCCACAGCCACCCGATCCTCCGGGCCGGACTCCCGATAATCAGCATTCTCCACATCATCGTCGCTCGAAGAACTATCATTTTTTCTGTATTTGAATCGTCTCTGAGCAAAAGACTTGCCCAAATTACTTTTACTCTGAGAACCTGCACTTCTCAGGGTAGAATAGTCCCTACTTGTTGAGAAATTATAAATAGAGGTTGAATTACCTCGCAGCTCCGCCATTAACTTCCTCAAATCAATCGGTGACCTAACTGAACCTTGTCTAAGATTGCCTACCCTGATCAATCCAGGCCGTTCATTCGGTCTGTGCAACCTTGCCCTTAGCTGCAGAGAGCCATCATCTTCATTCAACAAATCAGCTCCTTCCGACAAATGATCAGCCATAGCATTCAAGTGACATTCTAGTGTCATGTGGTTACAATTGGTAGAGGAATCGGAAGAACTGGGGATTGGTTCACCAGCTAGCTTAACATGAATTGGGGATCCCATTCTACCTAGGTCGAGCAAGCGTGTCTCCATCTCCCAAGCATTCTTCTCTTGGAGGTGCTTCCACTGCCACTTGTTTAAGCAGCGAAGAAAGGTCTGACCTTCACCACAAAGAAGTTGGTTGAAGAAGCGGGGGCGTAGAAGGTCGGACATCCTAGCCAATTTCATTCCAGTGATCTGAAAAGGAACAAGCCAGGTTAAGACCAAAGGCTTAGTTTGGGGAAAAAACTCCAACAACTACCAATTCCTCACATTGGGTTTGCTCCTAGTAATTTCTACCACATAAAGCAAACAAATTTGAACCAAAAAAATTGCTCGATACAAGGAACCATCAAAAGGAAATCCAATCAAAAGCAGCCTCTACATCATAATCAAACGCATTATAACTTCACAAGAGCTCATGGAAAAAAGATGGCAGGGTTATCTGCGCACTAGAAATGCGAGAGAACATTCACAAGAATGCCATTTCGGCTAGGAATGGAAATTAAGGCTAACAATCAAGGTCAAGCCAAAATCAAGCTCAAAGAGAGCAATGGGGACTGAAGAATTCAATCTGCAAATGGAACCGGAAGCACAAGTTTCCGAAGTTGAAGCTAAAAACAGGCGCGAGAAGTTACTCCTGTAAGCACTTGTTTTAATCAAAGTGAGGTTTACCGTGAGAGTAATCCAAGGCAAGGAATCGTATGCGGAATGAACAAAACCCTTTTAGTTGCAGAGACAATACCGCTAGCGGCGGCGCACTCAAACCTGCTGTTCCGAGAATAAGTCGGGGGGGAAAAAGCAGTGTTAACGCAGCGACGCCGGCCGTCTATGCAGCTGCTTCACGGCGGGCGACGGACTCCGGTAGCTACTCTTTTATATCTTCCTAAGCTCCCGGAAACCACGAGCTATCGCCGATGACTCTCTTCTCTTTTCAAAACCCCAGCCGCCTTCTCTAAACCCAGAAAAGATTTGGCGCCGCCGCCTCTACCTCTCGATCAGCGTTCAATGAAACGCAAAATCCATACAAGAAAAACGACATAGCTTCTACAACTGACAATATGATATATTATCTCGTTCACTCGTCTTCAACCTTCTCAATTAGGTCTAGTAATTGGTTATGTTCGGTTATAACCAAAACCGTTTAGTCGGTTTTCGATTAATCGTTAACCACTTTGAGTTTAGAGTTGTAAATTAGACAAGCTGTTCACGAGCGGTTTGGTGTTCGAATTAGAAAAAGCTCGCTCGAAACTCGATTTGTTTAGCTGAGTTTGAACTTAGTCTTGTGAGACTCGCGAGCCAACTCAATTCGGTGGCTCGTTGAGTTTAACTCATGTATTGGCTCAATTTGAGCTCATTAGCTAGCTAGCGAGCCAACCAACTAGCGATGTGTAGCTTATAAATTGGCTTGTTGATAGTTTCTAAATTAGTTAGTTAGATTGTGTATTTCTCAATATATAATGTTTACAGAGTTTGCTTAGCGCGTGTATTAGCGAATTGATCTATAAAAGGATCAACAACCATACTGAATTTTTTTTTCTTGCTAATAATGTTGATTTGTTTAAGAGATGTTGGTCTAATATTAATCATAAACATTGAGAACTAAACTAATAATCACTGGTATTTCAAGTGATTGCCGTTTGAGAAATCGATATGAAATAGAGTAATTTTGCATAAAAATATCTGTGACATTCTTTAATTTTCTCGTATATTATCAAAGTGAATATGGATTACAAAAAGTATTTAATGCTCTAGCTATGAGTGATCACACAACACTTAATTATTGAGCTTTCACTTAACAAATTAAGTTCTTCTCACCAACCGGTCAAACCTTAACCTAAGGGTATGTCTATGGTGACTTGCAAGTCACAATTACTTGGACAAAACAGTCGATCAGTAAGTGGTTGTGGTCGACAGATTGCAACAATGTGGTCATTCTGATGGAAGAATGTGGTCGACCTTAAACATGGACCGATCGACCGTGCATAAGAGACTCATAAGCAGAAAAGTCAATCTTTCCAACAAAGTGGTCGACCATATCAAGAAGAGGTTGACCTTTCCATCAAAGTGGTCGGCCATTCCAGAGAAGAGGTCCACCACGTGGAAGAATGCTCGACCCTCAGACTTAACAAACCATCTTTTTTTGTAGATTAAAATGATTGGTTTTATGGTCGACCTTGTACAAGATGTCAAGAACCCTTGAGTTGTTGTCTATTATAGCTTACCTTTTTAATAGTCCACCAGTCTTTAGCTGTGCCTTCTATTGACTTTTGTATTAAGATTTCATGAAATTTCTTGGCTACCAGATTGAATGATGTGCAACCCCCTTTTTTCAGTTTAGATTAGTATACTTTTTTATAAACTTGATCGATAATCAGTAACATCAAATTACTTATTATAATTTATATCTAACTTTGTTTGTTTATGAAAAAACAGAACAAATTGATTAAAATGAGTCACTACTCACTAATAAAGAAAAAGTGAAGACAAAAACCCCAAACAAAACAACAAACATCTTCCTTTCCCTCATTTTCCTCCCTGAAACCAGCCCTCCACCCACCACTACTACTACTACCTTCCATTTCCCACCCCTCATTTTTCTTCCCCCTAATTTCCTCTCTTCTTCCCACCGCCATGCCCGCCGCCGTCGCCGTCGCCGCCCTCCTCCTCCTCCTCTCCCTCCCCATCTCAACCCTCTCCGACGACACCTGTCCTTACCCATGTTACCCTCCCCCCACCGGCCCCGGCGGCACGCCTCCGGCGATCGTCGTCACGAACCCACCTCCAAATCCACAGTCTTCGTCCTACCCTCCACCGCCGGCGGGATACTTCCCACCTCCGTCCGGGAACAACAACATGCCGCCTTACTTTAACCCGCCGACGTCTCCCGGTGGCAGCAGCAACAACAACTACGGCAGCAATCCGCCGCCGGACCCGATCCTTCCCTACTTCCCTTACTACTACAGGAAGCCTCCCCACAAACCTGATGATGATGCGTCGGCGGCTGCTCCGGCGCCGGTCTGGGTTCTGTGGTCGACGGCGCTTGCGGTGGCCGCCGCTGGGAGAGGTTTCTGGTTGTAGAGTTGTAGTTGGCGGAAAGCCCCTTTTTTTCCAGTTTTTCCTTCTTTGTTTTTTTTTTCCCGTGTAGTACTTGTAATTTATTAATTATAAATTATGATTACGGTGGATTGATGGTGGTTTTTAGTTTTAGATTATTCGATTGGTGAACTTGTATGTGGATTTCCGCCGGATCGATCGTGTTTTTTTGAAATAATGTTGAGATGAATTTTACATATTTAGGAGGTTACGTAATTCAAAAGTTTTATTCCGTTAAAAATTGTATATAAATTAAATTATAATAGGAGTTTTTCTCTGATACATAAAAAAAATAGGAATCTTAGTGCAAGATGAATTAAGAATGGTACTTCCCCTTTTGCCGTCCTAGTGAGGTTTTAGCTTTGCCAAGTTTGCCTTTGCTTTTCAGCTAGTGCATTCAACCAAGTCAACCAAAAATTCATTCATTTTTGTTTGTGTGTATATTATACATTGCTAACTTATTGTTCTAGAGATGTTGGGTAGATTTAGTTTATCGATAGAGTTGTTCGATATTAAAAAACTTGTTTATATGTCAATTAAGCAGGTTGGTCGTCTTTTCGTTTGTTATTTTTTAAGAGAAGAAAAAAAAGGAAAATAGAAGGATAGACAATGGTTTGGTTTCTATCTTCCAAACAAATTTGCTTACTTCAGGCGAGTTATAACCCAAGGCCAAAAGCTTTGAGAGGAAAAAAGCTGCGAGTGATGGCCGGCTAACCGTCTTTGTCTTTTGGTTTCTTTTATCAACTTTGTGCTTTTGTTTTTACTTGTTAGGAGGATCGGAACCAGGCCGGAAAATTCAAGCTATAATAATTGCGAACTAGTAACGCACAATGTGGGCCCGCGGTAGCTAGAGCTCTTCCTTGCAAAATTTGGGCCGCAAGCGACTGCAACCACTCCAGGCCCAATAAGCTAATTATGGCCGTGATGAATGTCTGACGTTGAAGCAATAGCATACGCACTCGGGTGTGCAACGGATTGAATTAACGAGAACCGTGAAACGGTGAAAGACATCTTAGAATCAAGAATTGGATTCATATTATATTTGGATCGGTTTGGTTCGGTCCGAATATCATTATGGTCTATCTTTCTTCCATATTTTAAAAAAATTATGTGATCAAAGACAGAACCACGTTGTATTCGGTTCGGTATGCTTTAGTCCAAGCATCAGTTTGATCTGGTGTGGTCTGGTATGGACCAACCCCATTGTACATCCTTATTACACACGCACAACCCGGATCTTAATTATGAGGTTGGTGTTCCGTCCCTATGAGAATTATATATTAGGGCGTGGGCGAGGGAAAGACGACGACTTTAGAAATCGTGAGGGTTTAAGTCCCTCTATCCCCCAAAAAGGCATGTTCGACTCCCGAATTATTTATATCTTATTCTCTCTTTTCGTTAACGGTTTAAACTTCTTTATCTTTCTCCTTCATTGAATTCTTTTACAAAAGTATTTGGGTTGAAATTTTTTTCCCTTTTCACAAGTTAAGTCTCATAATAAATATGATATACATATAAATGAACAACTTTTATTTGAGCAAAAGTCGGGGCCTCTCGAAAATTGTAATGATTAACAATCAAAATCATGTGACTACAAGGATTAGGTCAGGACTCGATAGGATACTCTAATAGGTAATACCCTTATCAGTTAATATCCTGCTTACATTAATTATAAGGCTATTATAATAACTACACTTATAACAGCTCCTTTCACCTTCTTCTTGTGATTTGGGTTACGTATATAAATTACAGTTTGATACCAAAACTTAATAGATTTATAGATTTAGTACCTAAAATATTTTTGTATTTAAGTCCTATAGATATTGGAGGAAATTCAATTTTAGTACCTATATTTTTTTTTGTGTTACATGTGGATACCTAAACTTTTTAAAATTTATAAATAGGTCCAATTTTATGAGGCTTCTGGTATCCTTTAAGAAACATGTGGTCTGGTTTAATAAACTTGTGTTATATTTTGTGAGATTTCTTGTCTGCTTATGAGAACTTGCGATATGCTTTATGAGGTTTTTAAGAAACTTGTGATATGCTTTATGAGGTTTCCGGTATGTTTCAGTGAACTTGTGGTATGCTTTTATGAGGTTTCTAGTATGCTTTTATGAGGTTTATGGCTAGCTTTAAGAAAATTACGGTCTGCTTTATGAGGTTCCTCATCCGCTTCACGGAACGTGTGATATGCTTTACTAGGTTTTTGATCTGCTTCGGGTGGGGGGGGGGGACTTGTGTTATGTTTTTATGAAATTTCTAGTCTACTTTAAGGAACTTTTGTGGTCTGCTTTATGAGGTTTCTCGTTTGTTTCGGGGAACTTGGGGTCTGCATTACGAGGTTTCTTGTCTGCTTTGAGAAATTTGTGGTCTGTTTTTTAGTTTTCTAGTATGCTTTATGATTTGTGTATTGTGGTGAGGTTCTAGTATGGCCTCGCCCCGAAGCCAACACATGCTTATAAATTTACGGGCAGCAGCTTAGCTTTGGCCTATTTGGTGGCCGATCTCTGGCCGGCTACTGGCAGGGGGAATCTGGTAAAATGACCAAGAACAGAGTGAAGTAAAGGAGTCGCAAAGCTATATGTGAGGTAAGGTAAACGTAACGTAAAATATATAATCAATCAATTTGGGATTTTTTTGGAGGCGATGGATTCATAAATTTCAGTGCTAAATAATGATTATCCCTTCCTTTCATTCCATCCCGAAAAGGTGCAGTCCAGTCCATATACGTGTAATATGCGCAAACGAAACAAGCCACAACCCATGTGATTAGCTTCTAGTGGGCCTAATTATTGAAAGGGAGACTACTTTTTTTCCCCCCTTAACTGCATTACACTTATTCTTGTCCATAATTTGCTCAATAATTTGTCCATAATCAAAACCGAATCAATTTTACAAAGCTTATTAATTTCTCTTCACTGATAAAAATCAATAAGCTCTAAAAACGATTTGATAAAAATTGATAAAAAAAAGTCTTAATATAATCAAAATTTTATTTGTTGGGTTTATCTTGACCTTAGCCGAATCCGTTAAGTGTTTATTTTTTTTTTTATCTTCAATACACTTAAAAACTTTATGTTATACATCCACTTCATAATTGTCATTTTGAGAAATATATACTTTTATTTTTCTCAGACTGTCACATGACATCAATATTGCATCGCTTCGAATTGGTGTTACATAGCGTTGAATAAGTATATTTCATGCGACGCAAACACAAGATGTTTTCATGACAAGAGACTTTTACTCAAGAATTGCGAAACGACACTGGAAATTGTTACGCGCATGAATAATCCAGGAGACAGAAATTAGTTACGCGCCTTTGTTTTATTTGTGTATGGTCTTATTATAATTATCATTGTCTTTGTCTTAAAGAGACGGACTCGTCACGCAATATTTCTATGGAGTTGTCTGTTTCTTTGTTTAGGTTTTACTCTCTCAACCAAAAGTTTGAAGCTTTTTGGCAGTTAACAGCTAACAACCGAATCTCTTTTCCAGTAAATTCCAACAACTATGAAAAGAAAGAAAAGAAGAGTAAAATAAAATGAATAGAAGAGGAGATAATGGAGATGCAAGCTGGAGAGGAAGGCGGATCATTCCTTCGTCATACTCCAAAATATAACAACTTATTATTGATTGCACACTCAGAGTCAGCACAGCAGAGGGGGCATCAAAATATTCTTATCCCGCCGACTAGGTATGTTATTGGAGACTGGAGAGGTTAAAAGGTGGGTATCTCGATACAGGTCGAATCCAGTTCAGATAATTTATAATGGAATGCGAGTCGAGACAAGTCGACTCACATGGATATGTATTTAAAAGAAAAAAACATGAGATATGTTGATTTTTTTTTTCATTAAAACAAAGAAAAAGAAAAAAAAACTTAAGTTAAATAAATATAACTAAATTATTCGAAAAATTGAGGTTGCCACTTATTTATGACTTCATTATGATTAAAATACGAGATAATAAAAATAAAATTCTAAGTAATTTGAGTAACGAGTCGAGAAATGGACCGGTTAGGACAAATCAAGTCGAAAAGAATCCCATACTTGCCCCATCCCATCTACGAAATGAGTATTATCCGTCCCAAAACAAGTCAAACAGATTAAATAAAACGGGTCATGCCGAGATTGTGATCGCTACGGCTGACCCACATCGGATGTAAGCCACATCACCGCATAACCAAATTACCCAAAATGTGGATCGTCACTTTCTTTACGTTTCTCCCGCTGATTGGAACATCTCAAATATGATTCTTCACCCACGGCAACGGGACAATTCATTTCAATATTGCAGCTGGCAGACTTAAATTATATGATGGATGGATCCATCTACTCCAACACCAAATTATCGTGTTTCCATTGGCTTATAATTTATCCTTCCATCCACATTACAATTCTCTTAAGAACCGACAATTTGTGTTGGATATGTAATATAATATACTTTACTTTCTTCTCATCTTGTTATATATTAAATGTGTACCCAAAAAGATCGTCAACAAACATATTTGAAATTATTAAGGGTCGATCTCAGGACACTTCATTGCTAAGTTGTCTCTTCATATTTATGTTTCAATGAATGACTAAACTCCTATAATAGAACGACGGAGATGTTAAACATTGCAAAAGATATAAGAACGAAATCTGACAATACAAAAGATTTGGTGGTATCCCTGATCAACCGGACTAATTTACGGGAGAGCAATAAAATTCTTGTAGTTACTTATTCTCCTTGCTTCATACCGACCGTCTATTCCACATGACTCCAACCGAGATTGAAAAAGGTATATTTCTAACAATAATTCATGTAAGCTCACTTATATTTATACATATACTAAATGTTTTTACTATTCACTTATATAGTGTATTGAGTAAGTGAAAATTAACGAGAGTACGTCAAAATGTACATCGCATACGTAAAAATAAGTAAATATATTTGATAGGATTACGTGAAAATTTGGATTTTATACGTGAATGTAGCACCCTCAGACATCTGCCTTTTTCGTTAATGGAATTCAAATTATTCAACTATCCAGCGGTATTTGTCGTCTCCCCTTTTGTGATTGATAAGTTTTTCTGATTAGTTTACTGGCTACATCCCAATAATAAAGAAAATAAAGGGGAACAAAGAAACAGATGAAGAAGGTTCTATGCGCAGATAATCTATACTTTAACAACAATAATAATCTCATTGCATAGTCCCAAATCCCAATTAGGAGCCACATAATCGAACAAACTTTTCCCATAATTTCTTATATATTATTATTCAATATCACTTTGGGATTTACATATGCAGCAGTAGGGTAAAAAAGAGAAGAAGAAGAAGAAGAAGAAGAAGAAGAAGAAGAAGAAGAAGAAGAAGAAGAAGAAGAAGAAGAAGAAGAAGAGTAAAACAGAGTGATGACACATCTACAAATTACAAAACCATTAAAAATGTAAACTTTACTGTCAACTATTACTGTAAAACGAGACATCAGGGGGAATTGTTATTACGTATTTCCATCCAGTAGAGCAAAAGACTAATTACCGCCGGCGGGAAAACTGGGAAAGCAGGGTAATAGTTTTCCCCTAATACGCCCTCCAATTCGGAGAGAATTTCTGTCGAGAGAAACCAATCAATTCTACTGGGATTCTAGATGCCGAACAGTACCCCCACCGCCGCCGCCACCAATCCGCAGCCGATCATCGCCGACGCCGTGGGGCGGCCGGATCCGCTGAAATCGTTGTCGACGGGGTACAGGTTGCCAGGCGGGCCGGTTATGTAGATAATTGAGGAAGAGGGCGGAGACGGCGGCGGCGGCGGAGGGCAGTAGGTGGACGGCGGGTTTTTGGGAGGCGGCGGCGAGGGAGGAGGCAGAGCAGGTGGGGGCGGGCATGCCGGTGGCGGAGGAGACGGCGACGGCGGGGGAGGGCTGGGGTTGCACGGCGTGCACTTCTCGGATCCCGGGGTACCGTCTGCGGTTTCGTCCAGCTTCCTTGAATCGGCAGCAGCATGAATTGGGTGGGTAAACAGAGCTACCAGGACGAAGATGAGAGCAGCAGAGGGCGCGGGAAGGCCCATCGCTGATTAGCTCAGGTGGAATAGAGCGCCGGGAGGTAGATGATTGGGGAATTGATGACGGAGGAGGCCGGTGGTGGGGTGGGGAAGAAGGAAATTGGAAAACAAGGCTTGAGGGGAAGAGGGAGGAAACAGGGGAAGGGGAAGGTGGAGGTTAAGAGGTTAACGTCATTAGTAGGTGCATGGATTGGGTATGTGGGGGCTTAAATTGTGGGACTGTGGTCATAAACATCGAGGGAGGCCAGGCCTAATCCAGGGCCTAACTCTATTTGTTTCAACTAGGGTTAATTTAATTCGCAGTTTGATATCAATCCCGCCGTAAATAGTTCAAATTGCAGTAATCAGTAAACGCATGATTGATGTGGGTTGATTATGGATTGATAAATCTCTCATGTTTGCACTTATCGGATGAGCGAGTTACGGGTCACACAAATGATCTGCACCCTATTTTTACGTGGAAAATAATTTTTTTTTCTTTCTTCTTGTTTATGCTATCGAATAGTTAGCGTATTTCCTAACTGACAGTAAGTACACAGTGACGATCGAATTCTAAAGATGAAAAATAAAAAGAATATTTTTGGACTACTACTATTGGTCACTATATTATCTTACATAATTAGCTGATGAAGTAATGAAAGATTTGATACAAGTACTATACATCCGTAGGAGACAAATTGTGAGGTGTCTAAATTGATATAATCTTACTAATTTTAGAGGAATTTATTATAAATGTTAGTCAGCTTGCCTAATTACTAGTTGGAGATTGCAATTGTGAGTTGACCCACAATCCAACCGCACCCATCCGCCACCTACCCAACCTAACCCGAAAAATTTTGCGAATGGATTGCGAATCACAATTATACCAACTCGTTAGCAGATTAGTGGATCAATTTACAACCGAAACCCACTCAACCCGTAATACCAACTCGTATTGTGGTAAACAAATGCTTCCATTATTTTTAGTGGTAATGTTAGCGTTTGTCGTTGTTGACGTTGTGTTTAGGTAATAATCGGGAATCGTTGGAGCATGTGGATGGGTCCTACCATTAACGAAACGATTTTGCGTCGATTAGAAAAAACGAAAGGCGCCTGCGACACGGCGGTGGTTGTGTTTAGCTACTACTAGTAGAAACGATTAGAAACGACGACGCAATGAAACAACAAACCTTCCCAAGCTGAGCTGTGACATTTTATTAGTTTTTTTTTGTTGTTGAAAAAAAGCACGACGTAATGGGCGGCTTACGTGTTGGATTGGTATTCATGCATCTGGATGGCTGGACTGAAAATGGTCGAATTTCATCAAACGGGACACGGGTTGGAATTTGGAACACAACAACAATTTGCAGTACTATCAGCTGCTACGATCGGAAGTCGCGTAGTTTTAGACTTATATAGAGAAGTATAAATACTTCTCATATTTTCTGTAATCTATAATCTCCTCGATATAATGAAACTGACTTTCTTATTCGTAGACTATCTAACACACATCGTGACAACTTTCCCGATGCAACATTTACAAAACATTTGCGTATATAAACCCAACTAGCCGGCCATATGCTGCATATTAGAAGGAACTTGGAACTTTAAGCAGCTAGCACAGAATAAAGGGTTCAACTTCAACATCGGTGTATTCCATCTTGATATATATATGTGATCAATCATTTTTTGCCATTCGTTTTTCGGCTCATGCATGCCATGTGCATGAACTTTTCGACGCAAAGTACTAGAGATTTTTTATGAGCTGTTCACATGGCTTGCTGGTGTATCTATGTATATCTCCTAACTCTTGAATTAGTTTAATGGTTGAGATAATTAAATCATCCATATTCTTCTTAAAAGTAATTGAATCATTGATAATGATTAGCTAGATAATTAATATAATGTCCGAGATAACTCATGACAAACCGTGAACCACTACACCTAAGTCGGAATATTTTTTTACACAAAATCTCCATTTATGCATTTTGAAGAACAAACGACAAGCCTGATCAATCTGACTATGGAAAGCAAGCAACTCAATCATCCTATTTACATTTCAGTACAAGCACATTACATATGTTGATTCTTCATCCAGCTTAATTAAGATCAATAAACTGTTGATCAAGCGCTCACTTCTGTGTTATCCTCTTCATGAAATAACCACAAAAATACAGGAAAGAGATAGAAAATCATATCCACTGACGATGTATGGACTCTATAGTTGATAATAGACAAAAATTGATTTGCCTTGATGAGATAAGAGAATTAATGTTAGCGAGCAAAGCGACAATCCCAACCTCAAAAAGGCCTCGACCTCTTCGTGGTACTTTCGGACTATCTGAGAGAGGAAAATAAGCGATAGCACAAAAAGAAAGAGGGAGATGAAACTATTGTTGTGTATTTTTATTGAGTGACGACGGATAGAGCATTGAAGAATGGAGAGGGAGTCAGAAAATTGAAAAGTTCACTTCTACATTCACATTTCTTGGCGGGTTAGTTAGATCACTCATTTATTGTTTCACTAGCATATTAGTCAATGAAATTTTTATTTATGAATACTGGAGAGCATCGAAGGGAGGGAGAAGAGTTAGGTCTTGTTACCAAAAAAAAAAAAAGAGTTGGGTCTTGTTGAATATAGCCTGCCTAGTCTAGACTCTAGATCGAACCATGCCGCACTGCATACTCGTACTCTGATATGTGTCATATAGTATATGATCGATATGACCCATAACCTGTGTTCTGTCCTTTCGATTTGGATCGTAAGCGTTCATATGATTCGATCAGGTCCAGACCGTGTTTAACACCCCATGAGGGTTGATGATATTGATTATTTGTTGCATCTCTTTGGGTGCTTACTAATTTGATTGGATGCATATGGTATGCTTGCTATTTTTTTGGGATGCCTATGGTATGCTTACTAAAATCGACAACATTGGATTTTACAAACACGGATGTAAAACCAAAACGTCCAAATAATCTGACCATCCCTTCAGTTACATTCCATCGACGCTTATTACACATCTTTTCTAATTGACAGGAAGCTCGACTACATCCACTCTCCAACAAAACAAAATCTCGTTCGTTTTGGGAAGCCCACTCACTGGCAGTACAGCAAAAAAAATCAGTACGCCAAAGTCCATTGTGCACCTGGGGGACATCGGAATGCAAGTGGTCAATTGGGTCAGTAATGGCCTGCCTCATCAGTTGCAGAAAGTAGCAGCAGTTGATCCATGTGAGCCCAAACCTCCGGCTGATCATCCAACCATCATCACGCCATCTCTTCTAGCTCTCTTGGACTGATTCCCATCTCGGTAACGATTCCTACCATCATCGTCGCCAAGTGCCCACCCGCAAGTGGTTTCGAATTCCTGTGCCATGTCTGCTAACATCTTCCGCAACTCCTCCATCGTGTAGTTCTTGTCCTGCACAAACATCACAACCCACAACATTCATCGACCTCGAACAAACAACCTTCGTCTGGCCAACCCATCAACGTTCAAGAAGCTACATGTAAGACGGGAGTTGGAGCTTGTCTAGAGTCTTAATCGTCGCTTAAGCATGTTTAGACGTCGAAAGTAAGAAGGATAGATGTGATAGTAGTTTTACAGGCTTATGCAAGTCTGCCAAGGTGTTCTGTTAACTTATTCAACACTAACAACTAGAAAAGTAACTCAACAGATCAACAAAATTATATAGCTCAAATAGTTCACAAAGTTTCCTAACTATGGTAGGAGTTAAAAGAGAAGAGTAAGTTTGTAGCCATCCCACGACTATGCCGAATTAATCAAGGAAGAGTTTTACAGAAACAAATATACCTCTTCTTTGTGCTGTGCCATAAGATCCAACATTTCCTCGACAAAATCACAGAGCCCCTGCCAAAGATCACCCCGAATTCAAGCTCGAAACACATTTTAGGAGTTGAGAATCGCAGTGAACAAAAACGAAGCAGCGTGACAGACATAATGAAGAGGACATTTTTCAACCTGTCCTGTGCATACCTCGTCTGGTTCATCGTCTTCTTTGTCATACAATCCGGCATCGTATAGAGTTCTTTTTCTTCGGTCTGACAACACTGCTTCCCCCATTTCCACCCGCAACATCACCAAAATCACATCGTTAATTCTTCTCCAAGCAGACAAATGTTACATTCCCACAACCAATATCTGGAAGCAGAGTTCACCACCGGAATAAAGGAAGAAACTTTACCTGAATAAGCTTCTTGAATCTGCTGAAACCTCCGCTTTGCTTCTCCCAAGAGAGCAGACGACGTCGCAGCCCACTTATCCGGATGCCATCTCTGCTTCATTTCCACCATCCCCCACAAGGGAAACAGAAAAGCCCCAAATTCGGTTAGCAAGAAATTCTGGAAAAAAGAGACCTCAAGTAACAGAAAACAGAGCAACCCCACAAAAGCTCACCATAGCAAGCTTGCGATAAGCGCGCTTGATTTCATCGAGAGACGACTCTGGTCCCAAACCCAGAATGCTGTAATACGACGGCGACGGCGAGGCCGCGTCTTCGAATTGGGTTTCCATTTCTGGTTCTCGTTCAGCCCTAATTGAAACTGCAACGGTGTGATCTACCAGTAGGTTCCGGAAGATGGGAAACATGAAACTGGGAGGCGCGGGAAGAGGCAGGGGCGGTATTTAAAGGTTGACAATGGCGGTTTGCGACAATTTTCTAAGAGGGAAGCAACAAAATATCTCGAGTGAAAAGTGATAAGGGGAAAGGGGGGAAAGACAGAGCGTCGGGAAAGTTCGGGAGCCGGTTTTTACTTCCAAGAAAGAAGATATATCTTCTGGGCCAACGTGGAGCTAAATGCGATAAGATATTTTAGGGCCTGGCCTTGGGATATTTTTGCTCGAAGGATCTAGGGATGCCGTCCTTACTCCTTTATCAGTTATCAGTTATCACCACTGGTTCGTTCTGCTCAAATTTTGATGCAACAACTACAGAGTCTCAGAGGATTTTATGAACAGAGTATGAACCAATCCAGTTAGGACTTGGGATATGTCTGCAGTGGGATTAGAAAGTTGTTGAATCGTGATTTTATCGAATGTTCTTGAAATGACAAAGAAAATCGTTACAAAGCAGGGTTACAGTAAGTGCTGAGATAATATTCAGAATCGTAACCTAATCCCGAAACAACAGATTTTGTGCATTTGATGTGGCAACCCAATTCACTCTAACATTGAAATGCCTTCGGAAGAAAGCAACCTTAATCCAACGATGACGAAGGAGGATATCCGTCATGATTCCCGGCCATGCAACAACTTTCCACGGCCATTTATCCGCGGAGAAGTGGCCAGCATCAAGACTAGGGGTGATGCAATCCGTTTGAACAATAGAGTGGTGAGGGTGGGTTTGTCACTTTTGTGCAAGTAAAAGTGTCTCAAGAAGTGCTTTAGTTTCAGCTTCAATGGGGAGATGAACATGTGAGAGTATCCGCCCTCCCTTCACAAACGTCGCCGTGGCTATTGATTGCAGCAATGCCATATGCCGCCTTCTGTGAATCATTTAAAAATGATCCATCATCAGCCTCCTCAAGGCTAATAGAGATCTAGCTAAATCAACTCTCTCTGTTGGACATCCACGAAATCCCTTAAGTTGAAACTAAAGCATTGATGATGGGAGTAAGGATAAAAGTGCCTCAAGAACATGTTATATGTTTTGAGATTATGTATGATACCGTATGCATTGGTGATCGGAGTAAGGATAATGGTTTGTGCATGTTTGCGTTAGTTGGAGTCATACTTCTAGGTCGATGTGTATCTATGCTTAATGTCTTGTGGGTATCTAAGCTTAATGTATTTTTTTTTCTTGTAAAAGAAAACTTGTGTTATATCTCTTTTCGTGCATGTGCACTTGTCTTGCTATATGATGGTTTTCCTTCCATTAGCGGTCTTATTCATATCTTTTATATGGTTGGAACTGAAATGTGGGGATGGTCGAATTTGGTTTTATCTAACGATTCTCTCTTTTGGAGACCTCACCATAATTATACAGGATACATGGTTTTGGTGCCCTAAAGAGTAGGGTTGGACATCGGTACGGTATTTGGTATCGGTAAACCAGTATCAAATACCGAAATCCCAAATACTAAATAGTGCTTTAAACTTAATCACAATTCCAAAATAAATTTGATATCCCAATCCCTAATAATTTGTTTGGTATTATTTTTTTTTTGGGTAGAAGACAGGTGCAGCAGCACCCTAAATCATATCATTAACCTCGCGACAACAGGAAATACCCATGTTGTCGTAAAATAACCAATAACAGAGGTTCGGGTCGCTCACATTGAAGTAATGTGAGCCAAAAGAGAGGGAGTGACCCTTGTTTGCAAGGAAATCAGCTGCAAAATTACATTCACGGAATATATGCTTAATATCAATAGTCCATTCCCTACTAAGTAACTCCCCAAAATGATCAGCAATAGCTCCATGGCAGTGATCAGTCTGATCCCTGTTCCTGATGATGTTGAGAGCTGTGGTTGAGTCAAGATTGAGCTCAACTCTTCTGTGGCCGAGCTTCCAAGCCATTTCCAGGCCCTCCCCTGCTGCCTTCAGTTCTGCTCTGGTGATTGAGCACACCCCAAGATTGGAAGAAAACGCCCCCAGACACCTGCCAAGGTGATCTCGAAGAAGTCCACCTGCAGCAGCACGTCCAGATGGCTGGAAAACAGATCCATCTGTCTGGACCTGAATCCAGCCAAATCGTGGGGGTTTCCAAGCAATCTCCCGGATAGATTTACTGTGATTCATTGGCATAAGGCTTTTCTGGACATTGGAAGTAGCTTGCTTGTTAATATTTATCCAAGCATTGATTCTGGAAATCAGGCCAGCTTCGGAGAAAGTTTTGCCATCCATCACTTCTTCGTTCCTCTGTTTCCAAAGGCTCCAGCAGACAATCCCAAATTCAATACCTATACCCTGATCCTTCAGGTTTCTGTTCAGCCAGTGTCTGAAGTCCATCGTGTTGTCTTTCTCCACAAGTTTGTCATGAAAGTGTTTCCAAATGCTCGAAGCCTTCGAGCAACCTCTGAGTATATGTTCTGTTGTTTCATCAAATGTGGTGCAGTGATTGCAAGCCTTGTTCTCTGTCAGCTTCCTCCTTTCTCTTTCTGTGTTAGTCATCAGTCTCTCATGGCTCGCAAGCCATAAGAAATGTTTGATTCGACTTGGCCCTCTCCACGACCAAAGCTCCTTCCAGAGTTGCACAGGTGAGCTTTCCAGGTCTCCAGCCACCAATGAATAGGCTGACTTCAGTCTGAATCTCCCATCCTTCTCGATCCCCCAGACAGTTCTGTCCTCGCCACTTCCAGCTCTTGGTGCCTCAATACCTACAATAAGATTGATCAAACTATCAGGGAGAAACCTTCTCAAGCGTTCCCAGTCCCACTCACCTGAGTCATCCACCCAGCTAGAAACTGATGAGTTCTGCTCCTCCTCAAACAGCTCCCTGGAAGTAAAGTCCTGGAGGATCAACCCATTAGCCACCCAAGGTTGGATCCAGAAGCCAGTGGTCTCTCCATCTCTAGGACTCCAGAGAGTTGCCTGCTTCATGAAAGGCATTGCTTTGACAATTCCCTTCCACAAACTAGAGTGATTACTCTTCTTCATCTTGTGGATTCTTCCATCTTTATGGTGGAAGTACTTCCCCTGCAAAACTTTAACCCATAAGTCCTCCTCATTATTGAAAAGGTTCCAGGCCAGTTTCACCATGTAAGCTAGATTCATAATCCTAGCTGATCTAAGACCTAGGCCCCCTGATTCTTAGGTTTGCACACTTTTTCCCAAGAGATGAGGTGGACTTTCCTCTTTCCCTCACACGAACCCCAGACAAAGCTTCTGCTTTTTTGGTCAATGGCATCACAGATTGAAAGAGGCAGGAAAGAGGTTTGCATAGCATAGGAAGGGATGGCGTTGAGCACACTCATGGCCAAGGTAACCCTTCCTGCTAATGAAAGGGTTATGGCTTTCCAATGGGAAAGCCTCCTATCCATATTCTCCAATATGTAACGAAAAGTAACTTTGGTCAACCTGCCATGTAAGACAGGTACACCAAGGTACCTTCCAAGGTCAAGAGTTGACTGGATTCCACGAACAAGGGCTTGGTCAAGTGGAAATACCACTAGCCTAGAACCTGGAGGTCCCAGGTTCGAATCCCTTAAGTAGTACCTTAATAACAACAAAATAAAACCTATATCACCCTTATCAAAAAAAGAGTTGACTGGATTCCAAGTCTAGCACAGATATTTTTCCTATCACAGGTTCTAGTGTTCTTGGAAAAGAAAACCCTAGACTTGTTCTTACTAATCAGCTCCCCTGAAGCATGACAGAAGGAATCAACACATTTCATAATAACATCAGCTTGTTTGCAAGAAGCCTCAGCAAAAAGGACCAAATCATCAGCAAAGAATAAGTGGGACAGTTCAGGGCAGTGGGGAGCAATTTTAACAGGTTTCCAACTTTTACTCTTGACCTCATTCATAATGCAGTGGCTTAATCTCTCTATGCATAATGTAAAGAGGTAGGGTGAGAGGGGACATCCCTGGCGAAGCCCTCTGGTCGGTTTAAAGCTTGTTGTTTCTCCTCCATTCCACAGAACCTGCATCTCCGTTGAGGTGACACATTCCATGATCATCCTCAAGCAGTTGTCAGGGATTCCAGCAGCTATAAGAGTGTTCTCCAGGAATCCCCAATCAATCCTGTCATAAGCTTTTGCCAAATCCACTTTTAACAGCATAGAGCCCTTCCTCCCAGTCTTCTTTGCCATGGAATGAACAGTCTCCTGCAGAATTATAATGTTGTCAGTGATATGTCTGTTAGGGACAAAACTGGACTGGTTTTGATGAACCAGTGAAGGCATCAAGTCCCTAAGCTTATTGGCAATACACTTCGTAATAACTTTGTAAACCACATTGCAAAGACTAATAGGCCTAAACTCATTCATGGATAAAGGAGCTTCAGTCTTAGGAATCAAGGCAAGAAGGGTTTGGTTAATCGATCTGATGTTGAGAGGGTTAGAGAAACAATAAGAGATAAAGGATGAGAAATCTCCCCCAATTTGTTCCCAGCATTTCTGGAAGAAGATAGCTTGGAATCCATCTTTTCCTGGCGCTTTGAGGCCATTCATATTCATCACAGTTGCTTTGATTTCCTCCATGCTTGGTGGATTGCTAAGTCTTCTTTTGGCGCGTTCATCAATGCTGGGGAAGTCAGCTGGGATTTCCTGCTGGTGGCCATTGTTTTCCTTCGAATAGAGCCCCACAAAGTACTCTCTTGCCATGGTTTGCAGGGTCTCAGGATCAGTAATCCAGTTTCCTTCTCCATCTCTAAGTCCTGAAATCCTATTCCTTCTTCTTCTACTCATCGTACTCTGGTGGAAGAATCTGGTATTCTGATCCCCATGTACAATCCAGTTTGCTCTGGATTTCTGGAGCCACAGAATTTCCTCCTGCCAGAGGGTCTCTTCCAGCTCTTCTCTCACTTGGCTTTCCTGCAATTTCGACTGAAAGCTGGGAGATTTATCATTCTTTTCCTCCAGCTTCTGCAGTCTGGTCCACAGGCTTCTTTTCCTTTTGAAGATGTTGCCAAAAACTTCTATATTCCAAGCTTTCAATTTCACCGAGAGGTCCTGCAAAGCCAAAGGGAAAGTATTATCCGAGTTCCAGGACTGATTCATAAAGGGAAAACAGTTATCATGCGCAAGCTAGGGAGCTAAGAACTGAAATCTTCTCACCAGATTGCTCTTATCAACTGGGGCATCGCTGCTAAGCAGGATAGGCCTGTGGTCAGAACGAAGCTTTGCCAAGTGGAGGTTCGTTGACTTCGGGTAAACCCTCAACCACTCAGAGTTACACAGGCATCGATCCAAGCGCTCCTTGATTCTGGATTTTTTTGTGAACCAGGTGAATTTTGGTCCCGTGTACCCCAAGTCAAAGAGTTCATTTTCCTCCAAACAGTTATTCAGAGCTCTGATTCTAGCATTGTTGAATGGTGCTCCTCCTTGCTTCTCCGAGGATTTAGATATGGAGTTAAGATCTCCTATCAGTATCCAAGGAATAACAGTTGTCCTACCAATCCGACTAATAGACTCCCACAATTCACCCCTTCTATGTTCATTCGGGCTTGCATAGATGGCTGTCAGCTGACAGGTACCTTTGTCACCCATAGAACATTTTAAGTTGATGAACTGTCTATGGCATTCAACGAGTTCCAGCTTCATCTGGTCCTTCTTCCACATCACCCAAATTCCCCCACTGAAACCGATAGCATCAGACACTTCCCAAGCATCAAACCCCTAAGATTTGATTACCTTGATAGCTTCCCCACCACTGATTCTAGGCTCGAGGATGCAAACAACATCAGGCATATACATTCTCAGGTAAAACTCCATAGTAGAGTGAAATTTCGGGTGCTTTGCACCACGACAGTTCCAGGAAAAGACTTTAATCATTGATGATAAAGTGGATTTCCCAGTCCCCCCCCCAACGGGTAAGAAGTCAAGCAGAGTCGACGACCATCGCCGTCACTGCCGTACCTTTTTCATAAGCCCCTCCTCCCCTTGGATTCGGGTCTGCATTCTCAGGCAGCCTAGCACTAGCTGAGCCTTCATCAAACTCCAGCTTTCGCGTCAGGGTCCCATTTTCTGGGGGTGGGCCAGCGGACTTCTGGGGGTCACCTGTGGGCAGAGAGGAGGATTCCTTCATCTTCGGTTGATGGCCCGTCGAAGCTCCTGCTAACTGACTCTTACCTGCGAAGAGCTCACCGGAAGCTTAGCCTCTGGGGTTTTCTGAGATGAGGTGACCAGGGGCTTAGCTACTGTTTTAGGCTTGTCCTCCTTCGCACCCAATTTCCCCATCCCCGAGGTCCCAGTGCCCTGCTTTGAACTTCCAGCATTCTTGGGATAAGGCTTCACCCCTGAGGAAGACACAAGCGGGGAGGCTTTTTGATTATCCTTCCTTCCTGTTTCCTTAGCTTGTTGAATCTTCGTCTTCTTACCCTGCTTCTGGGCACTATCAGTGCCTTGCTTTGCATTCTTAGGAGTTTCCTTAGTTCCCTCATTCTGGTCTTCCCTCTCATTCTGAGAAATCTTCTCCTGTCCAACTTTCTCGTTCTGCTCACTATCCATCTCTGTACTTTCTTCTTTATCACCTTCTTGCACTTCCTCCTCCAGTGCACTAAACCTCGATCCTACTCGAGGTTCAGTTTTGCTTGACACCACCGTATTCTGTTCAGTCTTTGCAGCAGCACCCCCTTGTTTGTTCTTCTTCCTTTTCGTCCGTGTTGCAATCATCCATGGCCCAAAGTCTCCAACAACTTCAGGGCGTATTTCTTGTCTGCTCTGCACAGGTTCCTCCCTTGTTCTCTGTTCCGGAGTAGTATTCTCCTCCACACGGGGGCACTTGCCTTCAAGATGTTCATAATGGCCACATTCATAGCACACAGTATCTAAACCTTCATACTCAACCCTCCTGACTCTTCGCTTCAATCTGTACTTCGGTACCAGCCTTTTCCTAAGATCAATTTCAACACAGATTCTTGCATAGTTCCCCCTGAAACCATTCAGCGTGTTATAATCGATCTTAACCACTCTTCCCAGGCGACTACCAATATTTGTAAGAATCTCTTCATCGAAGTAATCCATAGGGAGCCTAGGCAGACGAACCCAGACCATTGTGTTGTT